AAAAGCTTTCAATATCCGAAAAACCCAGAAAAATTGTCAAAATCTCGCTAGGGGGGGGGCTGCGCCCCCTAGCCCCCCTGGCGCCGCCACGGGATGCAAGTCAACACTTTTGAATTATCTGATTAGTGTACTTGAAGTTTACGTTCCATAAATCTATAGAGTAGAACACCAATAAAGCAGTTAGTTTTTTCATGATGAAATTAATTCAACGATTATATTTGCTCTTCTTCACTTGGATTTGCATACAAGAGAAAAATTCATGAATAATTAACGATTTTTTTTAGTGCATCGTCAATGTCAAAGTTCTTCTACCATAGACAAATGTTATCATTGAATAGAGATCTCAAATAACATTGATGATCATGATTCATGTTTATCTATATATTTCAGTATGTACATTTGTAGTACATCAAATCAAAATTATCATAAATCAATAGAGAAAATTACAACTTACATTTGTGTTCTTATGTTTCGTGGAATTTACATCATATTATTTTATTATTATTTTCAAAAGAGACCCAACATCAGTATTCATCTTATGCAAGCTGTAATGAATATATTATTTTTTGCTCTTGTTGTTGTCGTTTCATTCAAAGAAATAAATTTTTTGTCTTTTAACAAACAGATATATTTTAAGTTTATCATGCATACAAATCTTAATACAATCAAAATATATAGTTGATTATCTAAACGCTGAGCTGAAAGTCATATGACTGCTTGTAATCATTCTCTTGATTGAATCTAATACAAATGGTTAATCCTATGAGAAAACTCAAATTGAGAGTCAAAAGTAAAAACAATGGGAATAATAATTGAACGTTTCGTTTTTGTCTTATAATGTAATTGTCTCTCGGATTCGTCGAGCATACCAATCATGATTTTCCATCGTTGCTAAAACACCTGTTTTTACAGATGTTTCATTCGTTGATAAATATGATATTTTATTACCAAATACATCGGTTAACATACCACCACCAGCTTTTAAAACTGCTTCTGGCGCGCATGTATCCCAGAGACTACAACCACGTGATGCATGCACATAAACATGAACACGACGTTCAAGAACAAGTAAAACCTTAAATAAGTCAAAAGATATAATCACAAATTATTGAAAGCTTTTCGATAGTATATATATATATATATGTATCTTAGTACATATTGTTTTATAGCATGATCTAAAGGATGGACACATTTCTCTCCTATCAACACCAGCATTCTGTTTAGATCGAATTTGAACAAAGAGTCAAGAAGCAAAGTATCTACGATGTAGAAAATACGAAAAATATTTACTTTATATCCACAACCGCCAGCTTGTAAAACTTCGGAAGGCTCACATGCATTTACAGCATCTATAACAGTCTTCGAACGATGAGATAGACTTCCAGCAAGAATTCGACCAGCTAAAGGTTTACTATTGAGTACACATTTTCCGTACACACCCGAATTGACAATTCCCCATACACTACGTCCATGTTCATTACCATCCGTGTAAAATGGTTGATGAATAATACCACCGATTGCATTACCCTGAGTAGCAAAACCAATAAGTACAGTTACACCTTCTAGTCGACCTTCAGTAAATTCTCGTGTTCCATCTAATGGATCCACCCAGACAACAAGCTATAAAAAATAATATAAAATCTAACGTTTTATCTTAGTTTTGTTTATTATTATTTGTACATCTTTCTCTTGCAATTCGTGAAATTCAGTTGGACATGTTGCTTGTAAAACTTCTTGTAAATTCGCATCAACCAATTCATTGATATCTGGTGTGTCTGAAGAATTTTCAATTGTAATATTCTACATAGAAAAAAAGACGAAGAAAACTTTTAGTACAATCTTTGTAGAACACAATTGTGAAACACAATGCAACTATCATAGGAGAATGTTGAGACAAACTAAAAGTTATGACTTAGGACAAGAATTTGCTCAACCGTTCTGCTAAATATCAATTAGATTAAAACAAATGTGTAATTTTCGAAAAAATAAAATAAAATTCAGCTACTTATCGCAAAAGAATTTTAAATTGTACACAATTCAAAAGACTTTTCAGTAGTTAAACAAATATCTTGTCTTGAAACCTTTTCTAATCAGTTATTATATGGCCTTTGATCTTAAGTCTATTGTTGTAGGCTGTGACCTGAGTGGAAATGCAAATTTTTACTCTGATTAACTGTACATAAGTCTGTTTTTTTTTATCGTGTTTCACAAAATAGAAAGACTTTTACTTCTTCTCCACGAATAGTTAATTGCGGAAAATGTTGTGCCAATGCTGAAATAATTAATTGTTGTGAAGCTCGATCAGCTCTTGTTTGCGGATCGTTGTGCCCCTTACAAAGTTATAAGAATATAAGAAATGTGCAAGAAATAAGGCATACGGTACTTTATCAACTATATCAAGACTTTTACCAGACATTTGTACATCTTTTATGAGTTGACCAGCTCGTTTAGCTAATGTCAATGATGCCGAAAGTACACGCATAAGTACTGGTAATGAATGACTCGCTGTCATTATCTTTTTTTATGTTTTATTTTTTTTTATATCTATAAAGAAGAAAAACTTATGTACACTTAAACAATTTATTTTTTTCTTGAACGCCGCTGTTTCGGTTTCGATTTCGTTGTCTGTTTCTTTCTAGACACTTCATTATTATCACTATTATTCATATATATTGATTGATTAAATTCATCATCAGCTTCATCATTATCATCTTCATCACCCATAAATTCATCCTTGATAGAAGTTGTCGTTGTTGGACGATCAATCATTTCAGCTTTAGCTCGAATACGACTTCGAGATTTACCAATTGATGACCGACGCTAATACAGATTTAAAAACAAACGCATCCTGAAGAATGATTTTAAAAATGAATCTTTCTACCTTGCTTATTGTTTCAGGTTCTGGTTCGACTTCTGGCTGTTGTTCGTCTGACTCTTCTATATCGAAATTCTTTTTTAATTGTTCAATAAAATTTGGTCGAATCGATGAAAATTCTTCTGGTAACATATCTGTAGCACCGTATGCTTCAATTAGACTATCTTTTGCTTTTGTATATAAATTATGTGTTTCTTCACAAATCTAAATTTATATGAAAGAAAAAAAAATGGGACTATAAAAACGAATATAAAATAAGAAAATTTTACCTTAACAAGTTTTTCATCAATATTTAAACGTGATGAAAGTAATACATCTGAACGCATATATTTACCAGATTTCATATAATTAATTTTAGTAAAAAAACGAGGACCCATCTATGAATATCATTAGTAAATTTTATTTCATGTCAAATATAAAACAAACCTCATGGCGTGTTGCACTGATGGCAAAGGCATGTTCATGAATTAATTTACACAGGATGACTTTAGCATCCGCTGGTACTATTATTGAAGATTCTATCTGATCAAGAAAAGAATTCCAAGTTTCTATTGTCAATCGAACCTTTAAACAATAACAGTAAATATAAATTAAAGAAATTTAGTAATTATGAATATTACTTTAACTTTTGGTTCTTCTATTTGATACATATATACTGTAAATAAACAATAGAGTGCACCGAGTTGTATAGGTAAACGCCATGGATCACCGAGATAGGCAGCAGCGACTGTCATCGAGTCATCAAGAAACTAGAAAACGAAATTTTTGTTTTTGAGATAAATCCATTAAAAAATACGAACAAATCGAAATGAATTTGGTTGAATATCTGCAGATCTAAATATATCACAAGGGACAGTGTATAGACAACTGTAATAATCATATAATTACTTGAAAAGTAATTCAAGTTTATGTTTTCGCCATACAGATGCAAATGATTCATAATCATGATTGGATTCTTGTTCAAAATCATGTAAAAGAGAATCAAAATCTGATGAAATTGGGGGTAAAAAATTATACGTATAATATGCAGCCATTATTACTTTGGATGTACCGTATAAAGTTTTGTTATTTTCAAATGAAATGCCAACTACGAAAAAGTATGACTGGGTGATTCACTCTATATTTTATTAGTTTTCTTTTCGAGTGAATGAATGAATGGTCTATTAACATTTTTCTGCATCAGACAGATGTCACTGGTTTCAACAAAGAAAATCTGTTGAATCCATCGGCATATGCAAATACAACATTGAACGTGTGATGGGTACCTTCAGTTTTTATAGATATCTCTTCACTTTTGTTATCAATGATAATCGTTTGAAAAACAATAGCTAAAAGTTATGAAGTTACAGTAATAAACAAAATAAATAACAGCAACACGTAGTGTCATGTTAGGCATAATAATACATAAATTCTTATTTCTTAAAGTTACTACAATGTTTCTTTGATCAACTTCAGACATTTGATTTAAGAGAATATCATTAATCTGTTTCTCTCTATGGCTACATGAGCGCATTAATTATCGACACTAGATAAAACATGCCAACTGAGTCAGCTACTAGTATTAAATCATCCAAAATTACTCCATCACTAGAAGCGTATGTCTTTTTTAAATTCTTTATGCTACTTGAATATTGTCAAATTATTTTATAGATCTTCATCACAACCATCCGAAAAATCGACATTTGATATCGACTATTGGTCACGTTCATTTCTTGCTCTTGTCTATCCAGTTTCATTTACTGTCATCATATCTGCTTGTTTAGCCATATTTCTTTATGATCTTTATACGCAATCAAATGTATTTGAAGATGCTGGTCTTATATTATCAGCCAAAGGACCTAACGCAGCATCAATATCAAAAATAACATGGGAATCATTTAAAATTGCTCTAATTATTATTATTATTATTGCAATTGCAACATGTGTTCTAGTTATTTTTGTTTATTATGGTTGTATGAAATTTTTATATGTTTATTTATTTATTACAGTTATTGGGGTTTTTTCGCTTTTAAATATTTCTATTATTTCCATGATTATTGCACAGGCTAATATTGCAATTGATTGGTTAACCGTAATATTTTTTGTTTATAATATATTAACTATTGCTATTATATCTATGTTTTGGCTGTCACCAAATATAATTAAACAAATAATAACGATTTATCAATGTATTATAATGATATTATATGTACTTCAAATAGCACCAGAATGGATTGCATGGGCACTTTTACCATTACTTGCCTTATGGGATATGATTGCTGTCTTACTTCCATTTGGTCCACTTTATTTATTAATTAGTTTGTTTCAAAAACGTAAACTTCAAGTACCATCAACTATGATCTATACAACCGGTTTATGGTTTCAAAATCAAAATAGGAATGAGAATAATTTAATAAAAAACAAGCAATTTCTATTACCTAAACAATGGTCAAGTGTTAATTTTCTCTTACTATCGAACAATACTTGTAATTATTTATATAAACAAAAACAAAATTCCAATAGAATCGTAAATACAAATGCTCGCTCAGAAAAACAAATATCTAAAAAACGTCCAACACGTAAATCTATGTTAGGCTTGGGAGATTTTATATTTTATTCGATTCTTCTGGCCAAGACTGTTTTCACATCTGAATGTAATTTATTTGCCATTATTATTGTTTACTTATGTATTATAATGGGTATGCTTCTCACAACAATTATTTTAATTATATCACATCGACCACTACCTGCTTTACCTATCTCTTTATTAATTGGTTTAGCAATCTTTTTCTATTACAATCATATTGGAGATCAATTTGCGGATGCTCTTCGTTTACCGACTGGACCAATTATCGTATAAATAGAAACGAATCTCCCTTTTTTTTGCTTGTTTTATGATTACAATAAAGAAGAAAAAACAGTCAAAGGTTATCCACGAGTAAAGTTCTCCAGTTGATAAATCTCTTTTTGAATCAAACAGATCTACATTTATTAACGTAGATAAGTTATACATAACCGAATAGAAGTCATATTTCTTTTTTTTCTTTATAGTCTGTTCAATTCTAATATCGTTACTATTCCTATCACCTACAATACGACTCTCGTATTAAACTATGTCTTCTACATCATTGATATCAATCGACAGATTTTTCATAGGATAGACACAAATCAAAACATTGAACTTTCTTCACAGCATTCAGTTTCAAGTTAAAAATTGAAGATGTTTTTTTTTTGATTCAGCTGAGATTTGCTATTGCATTTATTTTAAATATAACATGAAATCAACAAATCTCAGACATGTACTAAAGACAAGTATTTTGTTTTCTCTACATATAGATAGCTCATTAAGATTAAAAGAATGCACATTGGTTTGACTTGAAATAGCAATAGAGATTTCTTTCATCAGATGAACGATAAATAATAAAAATATATGCGTCCAATATCAATTAATCGGGTTCTAATAATGACATGGAAGGATCTTGTGAAGTGAGATTCTTTTCATTGTTTGTGTTTACTATAGTTAATTTGTTTGCATCAATCGATTCGATATTCTTAACTGTTGTCGATATGGCCAGACCAGACATTGAATCATTTCTTGATGTATCTGATGGAAATCTAAATCGATTATTGAAATAAATTGATAGTGATGGACATTGCTCAAGAATAGTTTCACATAAATTACGTTGAAGACCAAACCACCCTAAGAAACAGAGATATAAACAAATCTAGAATGTAATCGAAAACAAAACTAATATCTATAATACAAACATGGATTAGTATCAGTAGCACCAAATGACAAAGTAAGCCAAGCAATTAATGCAATCCATAAAGGAACAGCGATCACAGTGAATGAAAGCCTTTTCGTTTGGTCAGTATCTTCATAATCGAGTCGGTTAACCAGTAAAATCTTGAAAATAAACAAAATGCTATTATGGGTATTAATTGACGAAAATCTGTTTTAAATAGCAAAAAGTACTCAGACATTTGTCATAGTAGTACAAAATTGGTGACTATTCCTTTTGTTTTACAGATTATTGTAGCTGTTATAAGAAACTATGAATTCTATTATGTTATTTAATATCATCAACTTGAATTGTTCAAACAATTAGAGAATTAAATAAACATACCAAGAAAATACTAAATGGAATGAACAAAACTACATAAGTAATAGCTTCTGTAATCGTACTTAATTCACGATAATTGGATAGTGCACGTTGAGAACATCGATAAATAATAGCAAGAATGAATTTTACAACAATAAATATTAAAGCCACACATAAAGATATCCATACTGGAATAAAGACGACCTACATTTTAACTAAAAATAGTTAATTACGTATCTCACAAAACAAACAAATACATACGACATATCGCCATGTAATAAAAGAATCTAGACGAAATGGAAAAAATAAAAATAAAAGTCCATTTGCTGAAATAAAGCCTTGCATCTGTATGAAAGGAAAAAAAAATAAAGATATATTTTTAGTATCTGCGAAATGACTATTTGCTTACAAGAAAATTTCTTTGTGCTTTCAATGACCATAGACATGATATAGAAGAAATTAGTATACATATAAGTAATGGAGTAAAACATGTAATCCAACGAGTTTCAAGACGCTTTTCTAGTTTGTCACATACAAGTAGTTCAAATGTAAGTATAAGAATATGCATGACAAAATAAATAATCAGTGCTTGACAATCATTGTCTGGCGTCCGAATGATTCTTTACGAAGAAAACAAAAAAAAAGACAATCTAAATTGAAATTTCATAAAACAGTTTGTTCTACCTATTTCCATCACCATTTCTACACCAGACGAAAATTCCAATGCATGCACCAAAAACTACAAGGAATTTCCATGTGAACAATGGTAAGAAAACAAGCCAATAACTAATTTTAATATATTCATCAATTCGCAATGCAAACAGAATTGAAAAAATCAATAGAGAACAACTAACAACAAAGCGACTAAAACATAACATGTTAAATTACATTAAAAAAAAGAATTTTTTACGATGGATTGCACGACTGAATGTACCGAGAAGTATCCATCCATTATCAATTAATCTAGAATGAATTTTTCTATAGAACAAAATAGAATCAGACAATGATATTCCATTATTTTTAATAAATTAGATATATATGATTAATCCCAAAGTTATTTGATAAAATCTTCATCTATTATTCTTCTTTCTAATGAGTCTGTAGCAATTTATATTCTTTTTAACATAAAGGGAATTTCATAACAAATATTTCTCCATCTAACATATTTTACTGATGATTAAGCTTTTGTACGTACGCATATCATTTATACACAGCGAGCATTTTAATTACCTATATCGTAGCACTCAGAAATCCTAGTGGTATGTTGAACTTCTATTTAAACTCGATGCCCTCCAATTTCGGTAGTTCCTTTCTCGAGAATCGCAAACTGAACGAGCACTTTGTTTAGTTACGTTTCAATAATGCATCATTTGTTTCAAAATGAAAACTGTCATCAATCTCTTCGAGGAAGCTCAAATGTTTTTTTTGCATAGTAGATATTACGAGTTCAATGAGTATTTCTGACTTGCATATAATAACTAATCATATGCAGTTTGTTGTCAATTGAGCCATATAAATAAAAAATGTTCGTACGACACAAAATCTACTATAAAACAACTAGCTGATTACACCACTATCAAATGACATATAATTAATTTAATATAAAATAGTAAATAAATAACAATGAAGAGAATATTAGTACACTAATGTCAATTTAGAAAAAGAAAATATGTATACATCCTTACTCGGTAATCTTTCGTAAAGATAAAATGTAAGTGTTATTGTCCAAACTACCTGCATGATTATCATTATGCCGATAATAAGAGATCAATATTCAAATGAGAAGACTAATTCAGAAAAAAATGAATCATGGTAAAGATCACAACTCATATCAAGAGGGAAAAAAGTAATCTATATAATGTTTTTGTGAAGATAAAATATAATATCAACTAGTGCAAAATCATTTAAGCGCAAGTAATTAGGCCATTATCTAATTTCAAGAACAAAATAAAAATAGATTGTAATGTAGGTTATGAAGTGATAAAGCGTTAATCTATAATCATAGGGGAAAAGACATCATGTTAACACTAAACATAAAATTAAAGCTCCTCTACCATCTATCATCCAGAATGACGTAATATTTCTATATAAGCAAATAGGGGCATTATGGAAAGAATAATGAATGATAAAAAAAACATTTCACTGTAAAAAATGCCATGTGTCTAACCAGACATGTCATCCGTCTCAAGTCTTATTCAGACGTGAACTACGTCTTGTTTTTAGACATGTTGTGACTATAGACAGGAAAGCGTCTTAATTTCCTCTTTCTCTTAAAACATTGTTATAGTTATTGACCAATAGATAATTTTTTTTTACTTTCTTTCGTAGCTATGAGAACTTACTTTCGGATGTGAAACAAAGAATCTTATTCGATTTCTTGAAAATATTTAGGATTTCACTCTTTCCAGAACTAGTTTTCCCGATGACTTTTCTGACGTGAGCTACTTCGCATTTTAACTCGAGTTGAGGATATTCGTGGCTTTGAAGATATCCGAATCTCTTGATTCGATATCTGAAGTGAAGGGACTTTAAAAATATGCAAACCATTTTNCTTTCTTGATTACATACTATGATAAAAAAAACTGTTTCAAATGGTTAAATTGCTTTATTATTTAATGACTAATTTATTCACAAAAAACAAAGATGACAACAGCATCTACAGCTTCTTCTCTTCTCTCATTCTTATTCATCAAACATAATCAGACCTGTATTTTGTTACCAATGTAAAAAATGATGTGCCTATCTTTTCTCTATGAAAAACAGATGGCGCTATGAAACTACTTCATATTATATTATACTATAAGAACAGCTTCTCCGATTTATAAATGTATTGTTGATCTTTCAGTAGTACCATGCTTTATTTCCACAGGATGAACGCCATACTATGTAGAATTGAACAACTGACATCTGCATCCTTCAACTATTTCTATCTTGTATGTCAATCACGTGATACTTATTGTTTCATTTCTTTATTATATTCATTTTCAAGATCTGCACAAGAATATCAATATTAGTGTAATGCCTCTAATTGAATAATTCATTTTATATTCTATAAAATAACTTTAAGATGATAATAAAATTGTAACGATTCATTTTTTATCGGTTAACAAAAAAAAGATTCACTTTTTTTTCTTGAAGACCTTGACAATAAGGCTTTTACTTTTGTTTCATCGAGAAACCAGCATGAAAAATAAACATTCTTATCATAAAGTATTGACTATAAATCCGCAAAAAACCACTTAAAAAAAATAAACGAATATAATATTTTGTATATCTAGATTCTGAATAAAATTCTTCTTTTTTTTTCTTATCATAATAAATATTTACCTTTAACAATATGCCGTATGAAATATAACTGCCTGATTAATTCTGGATAGTTAATTTCTTTTTGGGTTCGGTTTTTTCGTACCTCATATTTTGAATGAATATGGAAAAGAATAACTGGAAAGAGAAAGACAAAAGCTTGTGTACGTGTGTATGTCTATAAACATAAAAATCAAATAATCTGAAGAAGACAATATCGTTGCCGAAAGGTTACTGAAAAAATATATAAATAAAGATCGTTCACAAAGAAAGAAACAGTTGAATATAAAAAGTAAAATTTATGATGACTTTTTAAAAATTAATAAACAATGATTATCAATCGATATCTGGAAATATTAGCATAGGACTAGTATTTTAGAACATGCCGAAATCGAAATAAATCAATTCCAGCAAAAACAATGACACATGAAACAATCAAATAAATGATTATTCCCCCACAAGAAGCAAAGGTATTGTTGAAACAACACTTCAAATGGTTCGGTGTTTCAGAGCATTTTCCCTTCATCCACACCCACACTGTCTAACTCCGATATTAGGGACATTTGTATGAAATCAGATTCTTTTTTTTCACAATTGAAACTAACACGAAAAATTGTAACTGCCCAAGATATTTAGCAAAATTAGGAATGAATGTGATGTTTTTCTATTCTTGATTGAATTAGCCAAATCAACATCATACAAGACGAGATAGAACATCATCTCATCATGAACTGTCATAGTGAATTCTGTTCAAGTCGATTATATTTCTAAACGCGGGTGTATTGGTACATACTAAGAGAATGTCCAGACCCACGCCCTAAGTGCTTTGCCGCAAAGTCAGTGCATTGAAAGGAGCATCTTGTAACACGCGTTTTATCGACTCTATAGATTCTATAACATTCAATGAAACAGAGATAATACTGAAAGATCTCTGTTACGTTATCCATGTTCGTTTTTATTAAGAATGAATTGATTCAAGACAGAGAGAGAGAGCGAGAGAGACGAGTGAGCATTAGGATACGAGAAACAAAGCATGAAGAAATGCAAGCTAAATAAATCAATCAATATAAAATATGACTGCAACAGATACCTTCTTTCAATCGTTAAAAGCGATCGAACCCATAAGATAATAGGAATATATTCCAACGCGTTTCAGAATACAAACTGAAATGCGGCCAGAATGTGTTTCATGGTTGTATGGGGTGACACATTAGCTAGTTACTCGGCTATCTCGAATGTCACATAGGAACAATTTAATTAATGCAATATATTATGAAAAATAAACAATCATAGAATATTAAGAAATTGTTTCAAATAAAAAAATTATCTAAGTAATTTATTTCAAAAATAAGTAAAAACTATGCAGTCAAATATGTACATTTCCACCAGTTAATATTTACGAAAAATTTCTATCTAATCCTTATTGACTAACTGTCTGCATGAACACTATTATTACAATAATAATGCATCATCAATCGAATAAGAAGATCAAAATAATTAAAACTAATGCAAAATGATAAAATCTCAAGTAATTCAATTATTATCCAATTCTAACAGAAGAATGAAAATCGATTATAATGAATTATATTAGCAATCGTCAGTAAAGCACACTAGATTAACATGAAAATAGATTGATGTCTAAACCTATTATCACTGAAAATCATGTAATAATCCTGCAGACGTAAATATCAACATAATTGAAGGCATAATGAGTAATAGGAAAACCTGCTTAAAATAATAGGTATCATCATCGGCTTATTTAAGGTCATTATAGACTAATCAGTAAAAAATTGTTTTTTTTAAACAACTAATTTTCGAAATCGCTCTTAACCGAATAGAATAATTGTTGATAAAAAGATTAAACATAATGAAATGAGAAATTAACTAAAATAAAAATGTATAATTTGTAGAATTGAGTTTTTGATAGGCTAAAATTATTGTTTTAACTATTTGATAGAAATACTTGTTACTAACAATAAGACTACACTATTATTCAATGAATAATGTATAATAATAATAAAATACAACAAGAAATAAAGATGAACAATAGCATCTACAGTTTCTTTTCTTTTGCTCATCAAAATTTAATCAGTCTTGTATTTTGCTACCGATGTAAAAAAAATGATGTGTCTATATTTTCTCTATGAAACGCAGATGCTGCTATGGAACAACTCAATAGTATTATAATAAGAAAGCTTCTTCGATTTATAAATGTGTTGTTGATCTTTCAGTAACACCATGCTTTGTTTGAACAGGGTGAAGGTCATGCATAGAAAAAGACCATATCATGATATAATCAAGAATTTCCACGATCCTGGATAAAAGACAAATATTTAACACTATAATTTCCATTTTTAGAAAATTGCAAATGACAAATGAGCACTGAACTCATGTTTCTGTCCTGTGTCCAGTTCTCATCTCTAATCTGAATGAAATGACTTTAATGATGAGTACAATTCTATAGTTACGATTCATCTTTTAAAGTAATACTTTCAAATCTTACTCTTAATATAAAAGTGTCGTTTTTCAATGATGATAGCTAATGATAAGTCTTAGACAATCAATACAGATGAAACACGAAAAACAAAAAATATTATGAAAGTTATATTAATATCACAGAAAAAAAACAAGTCACTTGTGTATAATTGAACAACTGACATCTGCACCCTTCAACTATTTCTATCTTGTATGTCAATCACGTGATACTTATTGTTTCATTTCTTTATTATATTCATTTTCAAGATCTGCACAAGAATATCAATATTAGTGTAATGCCTCTAATTGAATAATTCATTTTATATTCTATAAAATAACTTTACGATGATAATAATATTGTAACGATTCATTTTTTATCGGTTAACAAAAAAAAGATTCACTTTTTTTTCTTGAAGACCTTGACAATAAGGCTTTTACTTTTTGTTTCATCGAGAAATCAACATGAAAAATAAACATTCTTATCATATAGTATTGACTGTAAAACCGCAAAAAACCACTTAAAAAAATAAACGAATATAATATTTTGTATATCTAGATTCTGAATAAAATTCTTCTTTTTTTTTCTTATCATAATAAATATTTACCTTTAACAAGATGCCGTATGAAATATAACTGCCTGATTAATTCTGTGTATTCAATTTCTATTGTATCTGATTATTTCATGTTTCGTATAAATCAAGGCCAATAACTAAGGCTTTCCGTTCAAATCTTCTCTTATCATTCTTGATATCAATAAAAAAGAAATATTATCAAACGAAAAACAACAATAGTGTCTCAAAATTTGTCTGAAGAAAAAAATTTGCTTTTGATTTAATAATTCAAAAAGAAAATCTAGTGATATATATAAGAACAAAACAAAGCAGCTAGATTCATTTTGATAATAAATTTGTATTCTGATTGAATCATAGATATCTATTTTTTCTTCTTTTCGATGTCATTTTTAATGAATTTGCATGATAAATTAAATTCATAAATCGATATTTATTACAATCATCATTGTCAAACAAATGTTTATTTTTTATGCGAAATAATATTTATGTTTCGTATGAAAAAAAAACATTTGGTTAGTATAACCGATTTTTCTAAATAATTTATACAATCAGTACACGATATTCTTTTTCTTTTCACAATTATGTCTATTAAGTTTTTCATTTATTTATGAGAAAAATTGAATTACTACAAAAACTCGTTGAAATATAAATATTCAAAATAATGTAAAACAGATTTGTAACGTATGAATGGATATAATTTTGTGTTTTCTGCGTCGTTTATATTTACATATTTTCAAGTTATACAGACAGGTGTATTTATCAGTAAACGAATCCGTCTGTGAAGATGATATCCACCTGTTAGTGTATATCGGCATCGTAAGTTCTATACTCATCACATATAAGAAAAAGATACATTAGTGTTTTTCTTCGTTGCAACTCGCTGCTGCTTTGTTCTGTGTCTTCTTACCTTTTCTTTTTCTCACTTTTTTCTCAGCTCTTTCGCTATAGTTAACGTACCACGATGTGTGATGTTAGACGACAATGGTAATGATGCCAGCAACGAGAATAACAGCAGTCGATGACGCTATCCGTGTATGTTATTATTTTTAACCACAATAAAAAAAGACATGTGCTGGAAAAAAAAGTATATTCGTCAAATAAATAGAACAAGAAGAGAGAACGAATAGATAACGACAAACCATGATGAATACAAAACATCTTAATAGAAAAAGATATAGACTAGTGTATGGGTAAGATTTTTCAAGCCTAAGAACTCGTTTTTTTACTTCAGTTGAGATATCTACAATTTAAACAAAATTAGATGGTTTGTTGTGCAAGCATAAGAGAGCTATGTAGAAAGAGAGAATGTGCTTCCTATCCATTTTATTAGTATAAGAGCAATCGTCCGTAGTACACATATTTAATGTGTTACGTAATCGTCATAGGGAACTTTTTTTTCCAAAAACGTCAGATTGCATCGTAAAATTCTAGTCAGCATCGTTCGTACGAGAATCACGTGCAATTGACAGATCAAAGAGCGGCGCCATCTTGTTTCTTGAACATGAGCGAAAATGTTTTCTAAGATCATCTGCCAGATTGTTAGTCGGTACTTCATTTGCTGTTTTTATAAATTAGTTAAATGTAATTAGATATTGTTAAACTAAAAATTCATACTTAGAAGCTAATAATACATCATAAACGATATATTATATTGTCTAGTAGTGATTCATAATCGAATATTGTCTGTTAACAATATTCATGGACACTAGTCACGAAGAGGATCCTACATCGGGTAAGTCTAATTATATGGATGTTGATTATAAATGCATAGATCTATTGTTTTCTTTTACAGAAAATACGTCAACATTAGTTTCACTTCCCGATCTTACTACTGGGACTAATCCAAAATCGGTTCGTGAATATGATGCAGTAAGTGGTTGATTTATTATTTTATTTTTTTCAGTATTTTTTCTTCACACACATATCTATTATTTCATTCGAAGCAAAGTAATTTACTTAGGTAAATAAAAATTTGCACGAATAGTGACTGAACAAGTAATAAAAATACTATTAATGTTTTCAGGATGAGTTCTATAACCAGTAGTTTTTCCAACTAAAATTGTTAAGACGAAAACTTTGATTACGTGATAAGATAGAACATATTTTACATATCTTCGTATAGATACGAATGTGCCGAAAATGACTTTCGTTTATATATTTAATTCTTATCATTAAAATTTATAAAAAAGAAAAGAAAAAAATTGCAATCAGTATAAGTCCTACATCATGAATACTTTCTTTATTTGGATCTATTAATTTGAGACGAAAAATAATATTTCCTATCATTGATGAAAATATCTTTCGTTTCATATAATTTTTGGCAAGCGTGTCTCGAATTTTTCTATACTGTCTAAAGGTGTGTTGTCATCTCTACACTTGAAGTACTCTTGATTTTTACTTTATTTTTATTTATGATCTGTTTCTATTTTGTCTAATTGTAAAAATAACAATTATAATTATTTCTTCTATTATGAATGTTTTTTGTAATTATCGGAATGAAAAAATATTCTTTTTGGAGAAATAGCGAAATATTTTTAAATTAAATTTTCTTTTTCTTTTTTTTTGTCTTCGTTCATCGATTGTTCTCGTCATTTAATTTTTATTTGACTGGCTATGAAAAAAGTGAGATAGAAGATACATGTACATGTTTGATGTCGTTAGCATTGTAACACTTAAGAGATAAAAATATACCACATGGACGAAGCGGTTAGTTGAACTGATTTGTTCTCTTACGTTTTTCTATATCATTAATATGAATAAGTTAAAATTTCAACTTTCGTTCTAGGTAGTTGGAGAACTTAAACGTGAAAATTTCGATTTAAAATTACGCATATTTTTTCTCGAACAACAAAATCCATCTGATAATAGAAGCACATCATCATCATCATCATTAATTCAACCAAATTATCGTCAAGCATCGCACCATGAACATATTGATCAAGCAGCAACAGTAAGATCTATGCATAGTGATGATGAATCTAATATAGAGAGAAACACGGTGACGAGTTCTGCGAAATTCTTTTCGAGTTAAATGAAGTATTGTATTTACTTTTGATTAATTTTAAGTAAATAATTTGTACTTTTTACTGTATCGGTGTTATAAAATTTTTATACGAATGAAAATATTTAACATCTTAGAAAATTATCCATGAAAAATCAGCTTGGGATGAAAACAATACTGATATAAATCGTATAAGTTGAGTCTAAGTTATTTAAGATTTTAATTTTAATTGACGACAAAGAATTGCAAAATTTTTGTTTTTGAGCTCGTTGTCAATGGTTTTTTTTCAAAAGAAATCTAAATCGATCTTAGCAATAGAAGGAGCGACCGATCATGCGAGTTCTCTAGAAGTTCACTCAAAACACTCAATGAGAAAGACAAAAGAAAAAGTATATTGATCATTAGAATTGTTCTTAAATAAATGAAATTTTATCTCTTACATAAATATTTCAATTCTAAAATTATATTTCTTTTTCTTCTTCAAAATTTTCATAAGGAGATTCTAAAAATCGTCACCGTTACTTGTATTTGTAGCGGTCTCTCGGTCGCGTAGCTACTAAATCTATTAGTGATAAATAGTTATTGTGTTCTTTTTCTAATTGATCATTGATTTGTGTTTTTTTAGTCTTACAATGAATCAGCAACAAATACAGCCAATCAAGTTCATCTACGATTACCGACAGACAGGTATGTTACTCTTAGTTTATGCTTATTTAAAGTCAACTATGTATACGTTCCGTATGTTCTCATCTTTATTTTTAAAAGTAATCGTTTTATTCTCAAGTTAATCGACGCCTAACGAAATAGACTGAACTGTTGACTGATGTGATTTTAATCTCTCTTTCTCTTTTTCTTCTCCTCTTTTGTATAAATCAAATGGTGCCCCTTGTTCTTCTATAACTTGCCTGTATTATGGAGAGTAGTGAAGCCATACAAGAATAAGCATGAGCAGAGGAAAAACGAAAGAAAGATCGAACATATATGCAGTAATAGAGATGAAATACAACTGAAAGTATTCAACTTATTGTTGTACGATGGGTGCTACACAATCAGCAGTGATACGAGAGGCAAGCGATGATGAAGTGGAATACATTAATGATGACTTAGATACAAGGTGATTGTCTCATTTGTTCTAGAGTTTTGTAAACTAATCAATTGACAAAATATTAACTATTAATATTAAATATAGATTTTTCTAGTTTTTTAATATAAAATAGGAGCTTTTCTTTACCTATTAAATATAACGATTGTGCAGCAATTAGTAGATCTAATATCAATAACTAATTTAGTCCCACAATACGATCGCATACTCGTACTTCTATATCAGTGGTTAATCAGAAAGGGATACTGTAGCCGATTGATCGTTCATTTCGAAACTTTCCTCAATTTTTTTATCACCCGAAAACAAGCTGATATGTTCTCTAATTAACTTCGAAACACTTTCTATGAGTACTCGTTGTCCGTAAATTCAAGATCCGTTTCTATACTAAACTTTTAGTTTTTTTTCGTAAATAAAAACACAAATCTTGGATTAAGTGATGCTGAGTGTCGACAAAATGCTCATTACAATACTTCTATATCTACACATATTTGCACATCCAATTTTGGACTTTCATTTTTTTTCTATTCTTCTTCGCTGCTTGTCAGACATGTCTAGTTTTAACGTAGTAACTAATTCCATTAGGCATAATAATCGAAGCATTTTTAACAAAAAACACAACCTAACATTTCTTTTTTGTCGTCTGCTTTGATGTGGTTTTTTGATAGTTTTTTTTTACCTTCATTTTTTTTCTTTTATCGAAGCCATCAATCATTGACACAAACTACCAGTAATCGAGGAAATGATGAAACTGATGAGCTACATGCATTAAGAGCTGAACTTGATCGGTTTCGTCAAGAAAATGAGCGACTTCGTCAAAAATTACTCCAATTTTCTAATGACCCAACAGGAACTTTAACTTCTCAGAAAAACATTCAAACAACAAGAGCAACGTTCACAAAGTCAATTATAGATAACAATATGCCTGTTAGTACATATACTTTGCAACTTTCTGATCGTGAGAGAAAACTTCAAGAGCAAATTATTTCATTAGAAAAGGTAACAAAAAATCAAACATGAAAATGTACAACAATTTAATTGTTTTCCTTTTCGATTTAATACAGCAAATTAAATCACTACAATCTGAGTTATTTCAAGTAAATAAAACTTTGTTTAAAAAGAAAAAGAAAAAGAAAATTTTCTTTTGTTCTTTTCATTTTCTTTTTACAATAGAGCAGTAATGATTTAAAAGTTCTTCGCCAGAAATATGAAGCCGAAAGTCAACTCAATCAAGAACATAAAACAAAAGCTGAACGTGTATTGAAACGTGTACAACAGGATTATGAAAAACAAATTGCTGTAATATTTTAAAAAATCATCGAAACTTTATTTATCTTTCTAATGTATTTCTTGTTGCTTTCTTTGCGGTAGCATCTCGAAGCAGGTCATAAACAAAAATCAACTGCCTATGAATCATATCAGCATGAGGTAAAAATTAAAAGATCGATCATTTTTTTTATTAGTAGTCTCTATGAAAAATAGTCAAAATATATCTTAACAGAAAAAAACAAAAAAAATTTTGTTTTAGCCTCTACTTGCTCGAATTCGTTTTTCTTATCCATTGGTTTGTATTTCATGTGACTTTTTGAATTTTTCCGCTCAGCTACTCTCCTATGCCGATTTGTTTTTTTTTATAAATACACAATTACTGATATTCTATAATCAAATTTTACTCACGATAATCCGGTGAAATTTTAATTTGCTTAATTTTTTTCCAATGCTTTACATGAGTGTTCACAATTTTTTGATGAAATATTATGAGAGAAAAGGAGCAAATGATTTTTATCTAATCTAAAATTTTATGATTTAAAATTCATATGGTTTTCATTTTGGTTAAGGTTTTTTTTTTGTTTGTTTGTTTATATAGCAAGACCAAACAAGTTCCAATGTCAATGTTGAAGAATACCGTCGAGAAATTGAACATCTACGCCGTACCAATAAAGTATGATTCCATAGAAAAGAAGAAAAGAAAATTAAAATCTAAAAATGTATTTTTTCGTTATAAAACTATATAGCAACTTGAAAATCAAATTCGATTGATGGCATCAAGCCCACCAAGAACTCCTATAGTTCAAATTTTACCAGCATTGGATACCAATTTGACTGCAGAAGTTCGTATATTATTATCAAGAGATTATCGATTTTATTGTATTCTTTTATTGGATCACTATTTAATGAATTCATTTTTAGAATTTTCAACGGTTAAACGAACAAATTAAATCATATGCTACACTTCATGAAGTATGAATATCTTATTAATTTAACTATTGAATAATTCATAAAGATGATTTTTAGAGTCTACGTAATGAATGTGAAGAACTCCGACGAAGTGAACAGCAATTACGACAAAAGATTAATGATTTACTTCCTCTTTTGAATGTACGACAGGATAAACCAGATGTATGTTTAAAAGAGCAAGCTTGATAGTAACTTGATATTATTCTATATTATAGACATCCACAAGCGCGCGACAAACATCACAGGTTAATATTTATATTTATGTTTTTTAATAGTTATTTTTTTAAATAAGATATTAATTTTATTTAGACTGTTACTGGTGTGTCGTCAAACGTTGAAGTAGGATTTTTGACATATTTTCTTTTCTTGAAAATGAATTTTTCACCTTTAGAATCCTCATGCAGCTATTGCTCAAGTGACAACACAAATCCGAAGTTCCGCTGAAAGTATATCGACTTTAACGAATAATATAACGAAACTGAAACGGGATTATGAAAATGTAAAAATGCTTTTTTTCTCTTTATCACGTATATATGTACTAAAGAAAAATATTTATTAAATTTAGAGTCAAGGCATAATACACGAAAAAGACACTTTAATTCAAGTATATATTTTATTTTTATTGTTTTCCTACAATCATTATATATTATTTAGGAATACAGAATCCGTGAATCTGAAATTGAAAGACGAATCCAAGGAAAATATGATATAAAAATCGAAACACTTGAACAGGATAAGAATACTTTACGAATACAAGTACAATTTACTAGAAGATTAATTTCATTATGATCTGAATTTTTTTCGTTTCTTCACATAGATTCAAGAGCTTGATCATCAGCTAAAAGATTTTGAGAATCGACATGATCGATCGAGAATCGATTTCCAAAATGCTTATCACGACATGGAAATAAAATATACTGAAGTATGTTACTGTCTTTTTTGTTTATTCTTAATTATTTCATATATTATTTTAATATCTTATTCATCAGGAAAAACAAATTTTACAAGAACAAAATCAAGTAAGCTGTAAAAAAAATAGTAAATCTATATTTCTATGCGAATATTTTAGACATTAAATGATGGTATACATAGTCTTCAAATAGAAATAACTGAGGAACAACAGAAATATAATGTTCTACAAACAGATTATCAAAAATTAGTATGTATTCGATCATAGATGAAATTTCTATAGAAAAGTTTTGTTAGGACCAGGAGAAAGTTCAAAAAAGAAGCTTTTATTGAAAGATTTATAAATTGATCAGTATCGTAACTCATTAGAATATTTTCTATACAAAAGTTTTAAAATTATAATGCTAGCTATTGTTTTATTAGAATAACTTGGACTCCATCGTATCAGCTTTCAATGATTTGTTTATTCTTGAAAAGAAAATAGATTCCTATGTAAATAAATATATGAGAAAGAAGGTAGCAATCATTTTAGTTGAAAGAACTCTTGATTGAAACAGCTTTTACAAGTTGACTACAGCAATGCTTGGTCTCGAATTATGAAAAAATCGAGATCGATTTCAAATCTACTGTGTTTACTCTATGAACATTAAAATACTCCACATGAGTGAGTCTAGTCATTTTCGGTTACTTCTCTGAAATCGAAACTCTCGGACTCATATGTAATAGTTATGCAGGAATTAATTGAATCGTTCGTTCCGATCGAGGCGAATCTTCAAAAATGACACGTTACATTTTATTAGAAAGATCAATATCATAGCTGCTCTAAATTGATCTTTCGTAAAATTCGAACTGTAATGGGCCTATAAATATCAATGCGTGCTTTGTTTTCAGAATTTTGAGCTTGAAAAATATGAGAAATTTCTTCGATTAGGCTTTTTTTGTTATAGCTTTAACAGAATAGATGAGATTTATATAGTGATCTATTTGAAAAACTTCTTATGCTTTGACACGGCTCGATTAATATTTGATTTAGTTATAGGCAGTTTTGAGATATTGCCATCTGAGTTATTATTTACATAAGTGAAAGAAAAAGAATGAATCGGCTTAACAAACTTTCTAAGCGGAATTCGATTTCCGTTCTGAATTAAATTTTCGTTAAAATGATTGTCAAAAATGAATTTCAGAAATTCTTTCCTAAACATATTAAAAATTGTATTCATCAGATCAACTAAATATGTTGTTGAAGAAAATATGATTAATACTCTGATGTTTTTCTTCGTCCAACAGTGTTCAATATTCGGCAAATAATCTTTTAGAAAAACAAAATTACCTTAAACATCTTTGCAGATTAAGTACAACTTGAGAAGAAAACTTTGAAGGAAGTTTGAGACTACATTATTTTATTTGAGAATATTTTGCCTATGAGATGAGACGAGTTTATTTTCAAACTATTCTCGATCGAAATAAATGAACTGATCGTTTGGAGTGTTATTTTTTCCAATAGGATTTTCCCTGGAAAAAAAATCTAAATCCTTTTACAAAATATTCACAAATATTTTATTCATTTTAAAAAGTTGTTATCTATCGAGATAGAAAATAATCATGCCAACTCATCGTTTATTTCTTTTTCAGAAGTATACTTTCGAAGCCATTAATGTCGAAGAACTGCAAAGAACTATTCAAGTAAAATATAAATATTCTTTTTTTGATCTACATGATTTTCATCTTTTTCTAAATGAATAGCAACAAAAATCACAAATTGAAAGTTTTCATTTGGAACATCAAGAGATGGAAGTTAACTTTCAAGAAGTAAGCTTTTGTTTGTTATTATTTTTGTATAATTCATATCTTATTTCTTCATTCTATTCTTTCAGGAACGACTTCGTCTAGAGAAAGAATACAATGTAAAAGTTCTATATTGACTTTTTGAATAATTTTACGTGTACAAAATTCTATTTTAGTTTGTTAAAATTAGAGTTACTCAAATACAAAGTGAACTAGATACTTCTAATAGTCTGTACAATGAAGTTCGAACTGAACGTGATGAAGTAAAAGAATGTTTATTATTATTTTTTAATATTTATTTACTTTTTGTTAGGCACGATTGATTATTGAAGAACAACAAAATAAATTTGATACTCTTCATCAAGTAAGAATTAATTTCACTTTTAATATATGCATATATTCTAACATTTAATTATTAATAGAATACGCAAGACCAAATAACTCAATATATGAAAGTAAAGCATAAATAATATAAAGCAACAACGAAATGAACAAATATGTTTTTAGGAAAGAGACACGTTAATTGATCAATTAGAAATTCTACAACTTCACCGACAAGTAAGCAACAAGGATATAGTTTCTGTTTTTAATTTGTTTTTTGATAATCAATATTTTTAGACATTCGAAGATCAATTAGAAGAAAATGAAAAGAAATTCATCAGAATGACAAAAATCAATGATGAAGTAGATGAAAAAAAAAGCTATTTCGAGAAAAAACATAGAATGAATTCTTCGTTTTTTTCTTCTTCTAATTAGTTGACATCGAAATTATCTGTTTATGAAAACCGTTTTCATGATTATGAAGACGAAAGGAAAAAATATCAAAGTGAACTTACTATACTTCAGCGTGAAGTTGAAAATTCAAAGATGCAGCGTGACGATATGCTTCTACAAATTGATGTAAGATAAAGAATGAATGATTGATTGATTATTCAAATCGGTTATTATCTGATGATCATTTTCGTTTTGGAACATAGGAATGGAGACGTAAATATGAAACAGAAGTACATGAATGCAGAGGTCTTGACCACGACAAACGTAGCTTGCTAGCAGATCTTCAATTGTTAACAGAAGAAAATGCTGTAAGTTTAACGGAACAAGAAATTAGTTAAAATACAATAGTATTCTCCATTGTCCTCATAGACTCTCAAACATGAATTAGATAATATTGCCATTCGAATTCGTGTTGAACTTCTTCAAGAATATGAAAGTGATGTAAGAAGAGAATTCTTTCCGTGTCATATACATATATATATATCAAACAGAAAAATCTTCTTTTCCTCTTAAGTATGTTGATCGTTATAGTAAATTAAGCGAAGCTACGCAAAATGAAATCGACGTGAGTGATCGAATTTCTATCTTAATTAAATATCATTTGAGTACTGTTATACTTTAGAGTCTTATGATAGAAAAACAGACTGCTGAGACTGAAATTGTAACAAAGAGTCTTACAATTACTAATGTAAAATTTCATGTTTTTTTTGCAACTCATCTAAATATATATTAATACATCCATTCATTCGCATAGCTTGAAAGTCAATTGCAGAAAGTTCAACATGATTTACACAAAGCACATGAAGTGATGCAAGTTAGTCGTTTATTATTATTATTTTTGTTTGTCTATCATAGTTTTTTTTCCATAGAATTATGAAGTCGATATTGGTCATTTCAGAGAAGATCTCAATAGAGCAGAAGAAGCAAATCGAGCTATTAAACATGAAATATCAAAGCAATATACAAGTCAATTAAATACACAAAATGATCGGATCAAAGTAAGTTAAATCAATAATTTCAACTATTTGTTTGTAACTTTACTGTATTTTATTTATAATAGAAATTCGAAAGTCAAAATAAAATCTACGAAACACAAATCAACCAGGTATATTCATCGAAACGATGCTTTCTTTTCATTAAAATCCTTTTTTCGTCTTTTTTCAGTACAAACACGAGCTTGAAGCCTATTCAGATAATGTAAGTTTCGATCATACTACCTTGAAATCATTAGCGAAAGTTTAGAATCAGAAATCTTAATATATATATATATATGTACATACATACATATTTAAGAGAGAAAATATTTTTAGGAAAAAAAGTGATATTTATACTAGTTTTTGCTTGCTACTATGAACCTATTCATGATGTATAGGCCAAGTACAACGCAAACAATGAGCAATTGTTAGGCAAGAGAAAAATCAAAGAGGTACATAGAAACAAAAAAAATGTCAATCATAGTTGTTCAACATAAACTTAAGAATCAAAAAATGCTCTTGAAGCTCTTCGTTCTCTATTTTTCATTTCATATTGATTGATTGCTTTCAATAGTAAAAAAAAAGAAAAAAGAATGAAAGAAACTGATGTAAATGCTATTACTCCTACCATTATTCCTTGACTCAAAATTTTCATTTATCGAACATACTCAAACGAAAGACTCTCTTCAAGTTTCTACTCAGAAAAGAAAGAGAAAACATCAGTAAAGGTAATTTTTAAAAATGAAAGTCTTTTTTTCCCTAATGCAGTTTATTTTTTATTTTAAAATAGCTATTAAAAAATATATTATGGAAAATGAAATACATCTATCATATAATTCCAAACTTACTATTAGAATATTTGTTTCTTCTTTGTTGTTGATAAATTTCAAGTCTTTTGATTATTATTTTTTTTTGAACGATAAAATATCGGCAAAAAGAAAACTTTTTGTTTATTTATATATACATGAAAGAATAGGCTAGATCCGTAAATTCCACTATGCATTGAACAATTAGCATTGGTATTACTATTTTGTTTTTCAATATTTAGTTTTTCATTTAATGTTTTATAAAGAGATCCTTTGACACACTCCTAGATTTTAGTATTCTCTCTGCTCATCGTTTTTTAAACTTCCAGAAATCAACTTTTAGTGATGAATTGAATGAGACGTTTATTGAAACAAGATCTATAAAATAAAGTAACTGAAAAGCTCTGAGAAGTTAAACTAATTGAGTAAAATTATTAGTAACACTTTTGAATATCATTTCGAATTTTATTTGTATACACTACAACAATAATCATGTTGTCTTTTGTATAAAAAAAAACAAATCTTTGCTCATACTGGGCAACCTATAGTGAAACTAAAAATAATTATTGAAAATATATAACATGAACCAAACAGAAAGATATTTTTATCATCGAATAAAATTTGAACGAGTTGAAATTCTCATTCATGATAAGAGAATCACTATTTACATATTCTATAAGATAAGAAAAGAATGAATATCATTTTATATATTTATTAAGATCTATCAACTTGAACAAGAACTTGCTCAAAGAAATATTTTCATTCAAGTAAGTTTTATAAATAAATTTAACTATAATCTAACATATTCTATTTGGTAATAGAAACTTCAAGCCGATCCTTCTCCTGTTGATAATTCACGAACAGATTTTCAAATAAAATTAAACGTATATTTATCTATCCGCAAAAAACAAATATATTTATGATTCTTTTTAAAATTCTTACTAGATTCGCTACCAACAATTGGAAGAAGAGATTCAAACATACCGTGATAGCCTACAAGAGAAAGAGCAACAAATCGAACAGCTTCGTCAAGAAATCAAACCAGTTATTTGAAAAAAAAAATTTCGATGTAAAAGATTTGTTCTTCATTTTTTATACTAGGTTGATAATTCACATAGTGGTACTATCGAAGCATTACAGCAGGACATTTCATACCGCCAACGATTACTTGATGAAAAAACATCAATTATTAATGAACATCAACATCATATCAGTGAATTAAAAGTAACGATTCAAGATTATGAACGTAGAGTTAGTAAAGTACAGGAACAATTACAACACGCTGAACAAACAAATTATGTAGAAGATTTTAAATTTACAATTATTTTTTGTTTTATTCATATTTCTTTTAGACACAACAACTTGAAATTGATGATCTCGTACAAAAATATAATTCTTTGAATATTAATTTTACAAGCATTCTTCAAGATAACGAAGTAGGATGATAAATAGTAATTACACGGATATTATAATTCTTGTCTTATAGATTTATTTGAATCAAATAAAAGATTTAGAAATGGAAAGAGTAAATATTATTTAACGAATTATTATGTTTTTCTATGTTTACAATTTTACTAGAAAAGCGGCGGTGGATGTTCATTTGAACAGCGTGAACATTATCAAAGTATCATCGATGCGCTAAACGAAAAATTCGAAAAAGAAAAACCAATTCAGGTAAAATCATAGCAGAAAAGCATGAAAAAGAAAGAGCATGCTGTGTTCATTTGATCAAGTTCAGTAGAGAAATATTGCATTTGAATTTTATTTAGAAAGAAAATCAATCTACTACTAAAGATGAAGTAAGAAAAATGTGCACATGCACATTTGTCAGAACTGTACACATAAGATGTCTAGGGCTTTTTTTTTCTGGCACTTCATCACGAGTTTACTATCATTCTTTTTAACGAGTGCTAGAAAAGCACAACGCGATTTTTCACATTTACTGACTACAGAAATATAGAGAAAAGAAAAGAGTGAGAGAGAGAGAGAGAAGAAGAAGCAGAAGCAAAGATATTTTTTGACTACTCACCGGGTTTGGTATGTAGGAGAAAAAAGGAAGAACAAAAAATATCTTGTTTCTATCAGCAACAACCACAAATTTTGACACTTTCTTGGCGTGAAAATGATAAAAGAATCTATACGATCTCGTTTTGAGAATCTTCAAAATTCATTACATATTTGCAACTGAAGAAGAATTGGAGAGTACTCGTCAAGCCCGTAGTAATTTTGAAAGAGATTATAGTCAAATAATTTTCCGTAGCGATTTAAATAAATAATTTTAACTTGTCATTTTTTTTTATATTGAATTCATTTTTTTTCTTTAGATCATGGATGGCAAGCTCAAATCTGATTTAGAAAATCGTGATCGATTAATTGCAACATTACAACAAACAATATTGGATAAAGATCGAGAGATCAATGTAAGAAAAAAAAGACTAAATGAAAGTAGATCTTAAAAAAATACTGCTTTGCTTTAGAAACTATGTGAAGTTAATGATTACAATCAAAAAAAACTAAAAGAATTTGATAGAAGATTTACTGCTGAATCAACTTCTGACACAGTGTATTCCAGTCGACCTGCACTCACAAATGTATCATTACAAGTCGACATGCAGAAAAAAGAGCGAGTAAGAAAGCGTCGTCGAAAAACAGAAAAAGGTTTGTGCATCTAAATAAGTATATTTATAGGAAATAGAGGATCTAAGAAATCAATTGAAAGATCTACAAAGAGGAAATAAAATGGTACGTTTTTTTTACAATGTGCATAAATATAATCTGAACTAAATATTTTTTCTAGCCCAGTACAACAACTGTTATTCATAGATCAAAAACTCGTGGTAAGTGACAGAATTAGCAGCTACGTTCTTGTTAAGGGATCGAAAAGAAAAAAAGAAAATCGTCATGATTATTTTTGTTTGCTAGCTTTTAAAAATTGATTTAGTATTGAAAAGTTTTGTATTTAGCTTACTTAAATAATATAAAGAGGTTTTAATAGTAACATTTTTTTCTATGTTTTATTCAAGAGACGATTATAATATTGATAATCGACATTTGATTTATTAATGCTAAATTTCATTCTAGTAAGTTCTAATATTGATCAGTTAAATCGTGAAGAACTTTTATATGAGCTTGATGTTGCTTTACAACATATTGAAACTTTAAATGAACAACTGAAAAGTAAGTTTTTAATACACGAAAAAAAAGAAAACTAATGAAAAAACCCTTTTTACAATTATGAAAATAATCGTACTTAAATATCTGCAGACAAAAATCCTTCCCTTACGGAATTACACAAACAATCAGTCGAAGTTCGAGATGAACTTACGCGTCAAAAATATGTTTGTCAAGTTTTATGGCGTAAACTCGATGCATTAATCGATATTCATGGTTCAAACACACGAGCTGAATTAGCTATTGAATTAGCCGATTATAAGGATGAGTTGGGTAAATTAAAAACTCAACAAAGTCGTGCTAACGATTCTCGTCCAGCTAAATTCAATAATAATTCAAGATCATCATCAGGTCTTTACTTAGTATTTGCTGTTGTATATTATTATCATCTTTTGCTTTCCTATTTCCCCTAATATTTTAATACTTTTGCACTGCTTATATTGTCTTTCGTGACTTGTTTACTATTGATTAATGTGATTACTCACGCACTTTTGCTTCCTTTTTAACTTCTCTTTCTCTGTCTACGGAAATTAGAACAAAATCTTAGCGCATTACATAACGGTTTATCATCAATCGGCACGGAGTATCCAACGAAAAATATTAAATCCACGATAGCATTATTGGAACATTCAAATATCGAATGGCAAACGAAATTAGCACGCCTTACAGAACAACTTGGTCGAAGTGAACATCAATCGAGAAATTATCATCGAGAATTAAATAAATATCAAAAGATGCTCTACGAAGCTGGTGCGTATATTTTCTTCATAGGATAATCGTTTTAATGTATTAGCAAGAAAATTTCCTCTTTAATCATTGCTCAAACTAACTCAGCTTTCATGATTAGCTACCGTTATTCATGCAAAAGTCAAATATTCAAAAAATAGCTGCAACAAATATTTATTCTCAATTAAAAGTGAGGCAAAGCAAAGTCATATGATTTCCACTCCGAATCACTTTGAAAAATGTTTCTGTTATCTTTCATTAAAAACTATGAGCATGCCCGTTTTTCTCAACTCAGTTTTAATCAAATAGTTATTAGATTTGTTTCAATTATCTCTGACTCTCATGAATGATGCTTTTCTGATAGGAGCAAACAGATATGTATAGATAAGAACTTAAAATCCATCTGTTCACTTTAAAATTTTTTACTAGTAACAGAATCGCCTATGAACGAATCCTAGATCAAACGTTTTTTAAAGTATAAAAACTTGACTAACATATGCTTGTATTATTTAGGTTTAATAGAATTATCTGTTCGACAGCGTCGACGTAGCGCCGATGATTCAATTATAATCGGTCACATGGATTTAAATAAAAGAAGTGATGATCTCACCGAGATCAGAAATATCGATGAACTTAAAGAAATGATTCATAATCAACGTAAATTTATTCAACAACTGCAAATGCGTGTTCGAATTAAGACATCAGATATAATTCAATCACCAACAATAGACAAACTTAATCAACAAATACAGGTAAATATATGAGTTTAAGGGACTAGAATTACGGAAATTGAGTAGAATTTGTTTCATAGATAGAGATAATTGAGTTATGCTTATAGACTTTGTGTTTTCAACATTGAAAGAATCTAGTTTAAAAATGATTCATAACGTATTTCTTAACTTTCTAATGTCTAAAAGTCAATAAGTGAGATCGGAGTATTTCCATCAGCGTCTTGACTTTTCCTATTGTATTCTAAAAATAAATAAATGCGGAAACATCGGATTTGCATCCGATTGTTATGTGTACTGCAAAAACTGTGTCGATTTATATATGTTGTGAATAATACTGAGAAAAAAAAATTTTGTTTTTGAGGGAATTTCAAACGCAGCATATTTACCCCTATAANATCCCCCCCCCCGCCATCACGGATGGTCTGGTCAATACTGACAATTTTTTCGATAACTCAGCCATTTCTTGACGGATCCCTCTCATCTTCGAATTCGACTGAGATATTAATGAGATCATTCTGTGTACAAAATTTCATGACAATCGGATCAGCCTTTCAGGAGCTATATCATGTAAACGGCCGAACGATCGGACACACTGACCGCTTCTATAGTGTACTCACTTTTGTTTTTGAGTACACAAAAATGAAACATAATTACCGACAGATTGATTTTGATCAAACTGTCTGAAAGAATTGACCAACAGTGTCAGTATGCATCAGTTTTTCATAGTTTTTGGGAAGTGCAATATTGAGGAAACGTTAAATGCACCATATTTGTCTCTATAATATGTCATCATTTAGAACTCTTGACAAGTTATATCTACTTCATAGAAACAACGTTAGTTCTATGGGAAATAAACACATATTATACAGGCAAATTGTCGATATACGTGAGTTTTTCATAGTTTTTTGACACTAAGGTATTGAGGGAATTTCAAACGCAGCATATTTACCCCTATAATTTAGTATTATTTTATAGCCCATGAAATTCTCTATCGAATGGTGTCTAATAGTTGAGTTTTCATTTTTACTATGACAAGATTTTGATTTGCGAAAATTGGAATAGGTCAATATTTGCATAGAAAATAATGATATTTCTTGCTGTAACTCAGTAAATCCTCGACGGATTATTTTCATCTTCGAACTCGACCGAGATATTGATGAGATAATGCTGTGCACAAAATTTCATGGCAATCTGATAAGCCTTTCAGGAGTTATCGTGTAAACAGCCGGACACACTGACCGCTTCTATAGTGTACTCACTTTCGTTTTTGAGTACACAAAAAGAATATTTGAGTACTGTTTAAAGAACATTTTTTGGAGTTAAGCTGGCAATGCTTACTGAATAATATATAACAAACAATTTTCAATCAACTTGAATTATTAAACAATCAAGAAAAACTTCTTTTCGTTTTAGAATCTCAATCTTGTTATTGACACATACCAATCTGAATCAAATTTACTTAAAAATGAACTTAAAAAACTCTATAAAACAATTGAGCATAATAGAAAAATGCAACAAAACTATGAAAAAGTTCTTCAAGAACAACAGATTTCTGTTGAACAAGCCAAAAAACAATTAAAAAGATACGAACAGATGTTCAAAGTTAGATTTGATCTATATTTCACCTTCAAATTAATTTTTTTTTCTTTTAACTAGAAATACGATACTCATTTGCCCATATTCGATGAAAGAAAACAACATTTAATTGATCCGATTGATGACTATGTTATTAATTTAGATATTGATGTACTACAAGAAAGTGAAACGAAAAAAAGTATACTGATTTAAATAAATGATTTGTTTTTTATTTTCATACTATAATATTGTCATCAATATTCTAGACAGACAGAGAAAGAGAAAACCTAGACGATCATACATCGTAATTTCACCATGATTATCTAGCACCTTTCGATTATTGATTAAGCTTCTTTTACCTTCTACACGAATCACTTCTTTTAATACCGATTGCTATTCATCTGCTCTACAAGTTTTTCTTTGCTCAGACTGCAAAGATAAAATATGCGATTCTTTTTTTCTAACGATCACATAAGCACATGACATGTTACAATAGATGAATTTTTTAAATTTTTTGTAAATATTCAGTTAACATTCATTTTATATTCATGTTTAGAAACATCATTGGCTAAAAAAGATAGTGCATTGAGTAGCGCAACAGATACCAATGAATTTCAACGACAGATTCAGGAAAAAGAAGATCAATTCCAAAAATTAAATGCTGATTTCAATAAGAGAGGTGAACAAATTAAAGAACTTACGCTTAAAATTAACAAGTAAGTTAAATATACAAAAACGAAAATAATTATGTTGGCGAAAATCGTCCTCTACGTCTTAAAAGATGGTCAACTCAATATTATTATAGAATAATCTAGTCAGTGTATTATGATAACAGCAATCCACTCGATGTGTTGCCTCTATAAAATTAGTTTCTATTCTTTAATACTACATAAAACTCTTTATAGATTAAACTTTACTCGAGAAAATAGATTCCTTAAAACAATGCTCTGAATATTTCATATGGCGGATGTCCATCAAAATAAAAAAATCGACCGAAATATTAATCTCTCTGAGCAGTTTGATTGTTTAATTCTGCCAATAAAAGAAAATTCTTCAATCATATTGATTTGATTTTCAGTTTGGAACGAGTAAATACAGACGCTGAACGTTATCGTAGTGAATGTGATCAAATTCGTCAAGAATTAACTAGCGGAATTCTTCAAATGGACAATGAATTAAAACAAGCACGTTTACAGATTGATTCTCTCAAATCATACCAACTGCGATATGAGAAAGTCGAAGACAATAATCGACAGTAATATAAATATAAATCCTACTGAAATAATCATAAAAAAGAAAAACGAAAAATTTTCTCATCTAGATTAACTGCTGAAATAAAACGTTTGCAACAAGAAATCGAACGTGGGGAATCTGCTAAGAGTCATTATAAAAGTGAATTTGAAATATTGGAACGAAAACTTCATAACTCTGGTACGAATATGCTCATTCTTTTATCGAATCGTTTTATTTCAATTAACTATTTTAGGTAACACAACTGAAATCGCCGTTGGAAAAAGTGAATTAGCTCAATTATTAGAAGCAATACGTCTTCTTCGTCTTGATCTTGAAGTTAGTATGGAAAAACAAAAAGAATTACAAGCAAGATTAGATGAAAGCCTACGTCGATCAAGAACACCACGTGAATTTACATTCTCTGGTCGTGGAGTTTCATATCCTGACCTACGTATCATTGATACTTCTGGTTTAGTTGGAGCTGAGAATATATCATCATCAACACTGATTGACGAACATCGTATAAGACCTATAGGTTCATCTTCTGTTGAATTTGATCAGGTTGAATTTCGACAACAATATGTTGGAGAAACTGAACAACGAAGTATGTTGAACGTTTTGTTTTGAAGATGATTTTAGATAGACTGATTTTATTTTCATTTTCAGTTCCTACACAACGATATATTATTGGTGAAATTCAAGCTCATAATGAACTTCGCCAATTGATACAGGATATTAAATTTGATTTGAAGGCAATTTTTCCTGAATTAAAAGAAAAACTTGGTGAAAAAATGGTATGTAGATTTAAAAAAGGCAACAAGGATAATTGTTTGTAACAGATAAAATTAATTTGATCTTGACTTTAAACAAAATTTTCTATAGATAGCTAGAGAATAAGAGTGAAGATTGAAAATTTTGCAAATTAGAAAACTGAAGATTAGCTTCAAAATTAGTTTTTAACTTCTACAAAGCAACTTTATGAAGAAAATTATAGAATGACGCGTTAATAGAGTGTAGCATTTAAATAATTTGACATATTCTTAGTCTCATGTATATCAATAGAATTGGAATTTTCAAAAGAAGAAGTCTCTGTAACTATTAAGATTTGCTGCAAAAATTTAAGAGAAAACTCAATATTAGTATTTTTCGTTAGAGCAAAAACTTTCAGAAGATATGTATAGCCATTGAAATGAAAAGATAATTTGTGAATCTTGAATGAACTAACTATTTCTAATATTTCTGTTTTCAATTCTTTAATAGAATTCATCACTTACTGATTTAACAATACGGTCATTTGAAGAACGTTTCAAGTCAATAGATGAACGTTTAACACATATTCTTGATTTAATTGAAGCATACTGGCAACATGATCTACCAGAGAAAAATCAATATAATGAACATATCTTTGTCGATTATCGTCTTGCTGAAGAAGTATTTAATATTAATGAAAATTTTCTTCTCTTTTATTTAATTTTCTTCATTTTTAGAATAAACGTCTTTTATGGCATCAAAAGAAATATGTCCAAGATATTCAAACTCTAAAACAAAAATATCGAGAACAATCCAGTCATTTAGATCAACTACTCGCTCAATTGACGGTAAGTTATTAAAATCAAATAAAGTAAAATAAAAAAATCAGAAAAACAATTTTCTGGGTTTTCCTTGTTTTTCTTTTTTCTCAATCTCTTTAAAAAAAAGCTTATACGAAGAGATTAATCAATATTCGTTTCCTTATTTAATATGAATTATTGCAGAAAGCAAATCGTAGAAAAGCCGACACAGGCGAATGTTTGGCATTGTTACGTAAGTTTTTATTTTTGTTGATACAAATCAAAAAAAAAATACCATTCACCAATCAAATAACTAAATTCACTGATATTATAGTTTATTAAATGTAGTTGCATGTGTTTGGTGTAGTTGATGTAGTATTCACGAATTGTTTTTGTTTGCTTTTCACTATGTTTTGTGTGTATTTGTGGTTGTTTATTCTTTAGCTTATTGATTATGATGAATTTATGGCACTTTTTATGTTTTGACTATTTTATTTTAACTATGCTTTTATCTTGTTGAATCAAACTTTCTTCGTAATTCGTAAATAAGAAAATGAATTATGAATGAAAAGAAGTAAATCAAGGTAAAAATGAGATCAGAATGTAGAAAGAACGTTTTGACATGACACTATTTTTAGCACATTTTACGTGATAGTCTACAGAGAATATAACCTATTTCCGCTTAGATGGGTTCCATCGTCTTGGATGGCAAATTACAAAAAAGACTAATAAGGACCGCCTTGAAAAAATAATATTAGAAATACGTTTTTAATGTAATAGCAATATAATAACTCGTAGGATATATTTCATAAATATTGAATGCAGAATGATAAAATTACAGACTCATTTTTCATGATTACTGATATAAGTAGGCAGAAGATAGTTTTCTTTGTAGTTGAAGTACAAAACTAAATCTTTTATATATAGAAATTTGTCTTTACTGTTATGTTAAACTTAAGAGAAAATCTATTATTTCACATGAGAGACAGCCTTCTTTGAATTTGAGAATCATTAAAACTTGCCAATACCATTAAAATGTTTAGAAATACAGCGAAAATATTTTCTACGAAACTAAAAATTGCTTGAACAATTCCTGTTTATCATTTGAATGATCATTTTGCAGTTCTTACGAATAGGTAGCCAGAGTTCTCTAGAACGACATTATATAGCTATATTCGGAAAGAATTTCAAACGAAGATTTACTTTTGACGTAATCATCTGTTTTTGAAATAAAAAATAAGTAGATTTTTGTTCGACATTTGCAAACTGCCGCTGAAAATCAGTTTAACTTAGAGCAGTATCCTAATTTAACAACGAAACTTGATTAAACTTATGCTATTAGCAAAATTTACGACTTGCAAGCAAGAATCTACTCAAAAGCTTCTCTTTAGTTTTGACCTATATGACATGGTCATACAAAAGTTGGAAAGACTTTTTTTGTTCATACTATGCTGAACTAGAGCATTAAGGATGTCCTGCAATGTAAGCAGTAGACTGCACACGATAATCATAATGTATAAACTGTCAAAAAGTTAGATTATCATAGACATCAACTGATAAGACGCTAATATCATATTGAATTTATAGAAGAATATATTTTTCCGAAATGGAAACACTATAATTCAATGGTGCATTTTTATTAAAATATTAATCAAAAGAAAATCATGATAAATTTCGTATTAGATTATGATAAATAAGTCTAATTTGATGTTGTTTTTCTTTGTTTTAGTCCGACCGACGTTAGATGTTCTTCAAAAAGCTCGCACGAATATCGAACATCATTTAAAAGAGTCCAATACAAATACAAACCCACCTGGTAGTGCTCAATCATCACATCGTCGTCATCGTACTAATCGTAAAGACTAGATCGGTTCGATTGGCTTCAATCGGAAGTTTTCTTGTGTTTTTCTTTCTTTTTAAATTTTCTCTAAATATTTTCTTTTTGAGTGCATGTGTGTTTGTCGATGTCTCAGGTTTTTAAGTTTTGTTTTTTGAATTGATTGATATTCATCTGTCTAAAATCGTTTTTTTTTGTTTTCTATGATAAAATATAATTTAATTAAAATTATTATGATCAAAATATAAAATTAATTGAATCATTGCATGAACTCTAAAGTCTTTACAATTTTTCATCGGTCAAAAATTTATTGAGATAATATATAAATTGGATAAACGTATCGTTACATATCCTTGAGTCATTTGTAATGTATTATATTTTTCTTTTGCCAATACTTATAATGATAAAATATTATGGAACTAATCATATGATCAATTAGAATTATTTCCAAGCTATAGTTTAACGATATAAGCTAGTCTACAGCATAAGTTTGTTGCTAGTCGGTCGTAGTTCTCAATGCAAATATTGTTTTTTCTTGATAGTTAATGAAATATGTCAAGGGGGAAACAGCAGACTCCATCTGACTCCGAGGAGTTAGAGTCTGCTGTTTCCCCCTTGACATATGTTCAGTTCTTTTTTTTGCAGAGTTGTTTTCAAGATCTTAATGCTGAAATTTAAATAACGAAAAAGATTAAATTAACGATGGAAATCAGTTGAGGTCATTACTATCAAATTAATCGAGTGCGTCATAGAAAGAGTAGGCTTCGAGTGAATGAATCATTGCTGCCTCAATCTATCTGATACATTAATTTTGTTTAGCAGGAAAAGAGAACAGTCCATATATTCGATAGTTGCGAAATGTCAAATATCGAATCAAGAAAGATGAAGTTTTCGATTTTGATTGATTGTATAGAAGAAAATGCATTTAGTGTCTTTTTCACATTCCTGCTGATCTTATGGGAATAGCTATTTATGCAATCAGAAATTCTTTTCCTCGAGTATCTTAACCTTCTCTGTACTTTGACTGTAATCATTTGCTCTACTGTTCTCAATAAAGTAAAGACTGTTATATATATATATATTTTTTGCTTGTGTGGTTTTTGTTGCTGACAATAATTGTGCTGAAGTTAGTTAGTAACTAAATTACTACTTAGGTCAGTTCAAAAGTAGTTGCGAAGGTATATCAATTTCTTATAGAAACTTCTGAGGAATGTTTTTCGCTACAGTCTGATAGAGAAAAGAAAGCTCTATTTTTCTATGCTATTTGATCGTACTTTAACTAATGGGATGATAATAAATTTTTCATAAGACGTTTTTCGTTTACATGGTTTCGGGTTGTAGTTGTACATCGCACTTTTCATTTCCTTGTTAGTTGTATTAACAACCAAAATATGTCATATCATGCAGCGTGAAAAACTCTACAATCTGCATAGTATAGTTTATTGAAATCGTTTTGAAAGAAAGAAAAATTCTATACGATCAGTTTTTTACAACGGCCAAAGTTCGATCACTCAACCCCTTGCCCATTTTGAAAAGAAAAAGTGCAACTAGAAAATAAGTGGTCTTATGGAAATTGTAGAGCTACTCATGCTGCAACTTATGACATATTTTGGTTGTTAGTATAATGTATTAGTGAACTAAAAAAGACTAAACGGTCTGACACATTGTGACCTAGTACAACTAGCAGACATGTTAAAGAAAAACGTCTTATGAAAAATTCATTATCATCACATTAGTTAAAGTATGATCAAATGAGTTATGGCATAATCCCATTACACCGGGTAACGACTTTTCTAGTATAACGCGAGTCCTCACTGTGATTCCCTAAAATAATTCCCTCGTGTAGAAAACGCAGTGCCATTGCACTGCATTCCTTAATACTATATGATAGAAGTTGAGGAATGTGAGTGAATTTGGTGTAATGACTTTTGATGCAATGATTATCTGTATGACTATATGATAGAAGTTGAGGAATGTGAGTGAATTTGGTGTGATGACAATCATGAAGCGATGTTGCAAAGTTATTTGTCATAGCGGAAAATGTGCTTCATTCTAATTGGGGGTCGGGGTGCGAGTGGGAGTAGGTGATGGTGTCGTATCTTCTCAAGCACACCCACACCGTCATATCGATAGTCATTGCACCAAAAGCCATTACACCAAATTCACTCACATTCCTCAACTTCTATCATATAGTCATATCGATAGTCATTACACTAAATGGACTGATAGTTGCTACCTCATAGCAAGTATACTTTAGCTAGTAAAAAGATATCTAGCTCGTCTGAGTCGAACACTCGTTGGGTATTATGACGGTTGATTCTCGTTACCCCATGTTTAGGTATTATGACATCTATGAATCAAATAGCATAGAAAAATAGAGCTTTTTTTCTCTATCAGACTGTAGAGAAAAGAAGTTCATCAGAACTTTCCATAAGAAATTGATATACCTCCGCAACTACTTTTGGACTGACCTAAGCACAAATAAGCATCGAGCTGTAATATATCGAAGTGAAAAGAAAATCTCATATGTCGGACGAGGTTTGTTTTTTGTTTATCCTAATCTTGTAATTTTCTCGACGAAATCAAGAATATAATTAGGCTGAGAATTTTCTTCCGCTAGATTTTCATTTGCAAATTCTCCTGTTTCCAGCGTAAGATTCTAAGTCTATGTTTTTTTTGAAATAATTAGTAATTTCAAAGAAAATTATTCATTTATATAATATATACGTAAGGTGTATCAAAGTCAAAAATCGTACAGGAGAAAAAAAATCCTTTTATTATTACATGGTTAGATAGAGCTCGATGGGTAGATCATGAATAACAACTTTAAAATGTTTCTAGGCTCCCGTTTTGGTTGAGAAATTTTCAAAATACAAACTGCACCTGAAAAAGTGAATATTTCACTTTCGTAGAGAAAACTCGAACGTAGCTTCTCAAAAGAGATACTTTTTAAAAAAATACCCATAGCTACTTAACGATTTACTATAACTACATAATGACTTCTTATAGCTGTTTAATGAATTTATAGCTACCGAGGTTGATCAAAACGGACTCGTTTACGGTCTGTTTATCGACGGTAAACGATGTCAAAACGGTATATTTACGGCAGTAAATAGGCCGTATTTATCCGTAATATCTGGCGCACTAATACGGCACCGTAAACGGGACTGAATTTTCATGGTCTACGGCTGTTTGTGCTCCGTACTCTCATGACAATACGGTCCGTATTACTGCGCCAGATATTACGGTAAACTTTCGCCCGTAAAATAGTCGTAAAGTAACCGTCAATGGCCGTATACGGACCGTACTGTTCGACCTGGGTAGTGGATTATTGTATAGCTGCTTCCAACTTTACTATAATTATTCAAAGATCACGCATTTATTGAAAGTTCATGTACCTCTTTAAAGATTCTACATCAATTTAAAAAATGTATCTCAGCCATATTACAAAGAAGAGACAAACCTTATTAATATGACTTCACATATTTTTCCAAAAACTCCCATTACGTATCTCTTCCTCTTTTATATCATAAATATTTGAATATTCTAATGAATCAAATACAGATTCACATTATGAATACAAATTGTTTTACTTGAATTTATCTGAGAAACAGTATGATAAACCTGAATAATAAAAAAACAACATCAACTCATGCACATTTGAAAGTAATCCGAAATATAATAGAAATGCAAATTTCAAGCATTTCGATTATTTCATCGTCAACTAAACATGAAGACTTACATGTTTCACCTTCTCTTTAGTGCATCCCCTTTCAGCCCCCTTACTCCTTTATGTCATTCATAATGTTGGTATCATAAATATTTGATTATTCTCATGAATTCTATATACATTCACATTGTGAATACAAAATGTTTTGTTTGAATTTTGCCTTAAAAACAATATAATGATAGTCATTCAGTAGCTGTACGACTCATTCAGTAGCTATACGATTCATTCAGTAGTTATTCGAAAGCAGTAAGTGGTTATGTGCTTAAGAAAATGCAGCAGACTATATTAAAAAAGTATCTCTTTTGAGAATGAGTCAACTCGAAATGTACCTAGTTTAATAATGTTTTACGTTTAGAAGACTATCATCCTCGAATTTAGCATGAAAAATCTGAATCTACTGATGTAACGTTGACCAGTAAAAAGCATAATTTTCATGTTTAAGGACCTCAACTAGGTCCTCATATAGACACTTTGAAATTGATGTATCGTAAAATCATCAATTATTTTTTTTGAAAGCAACTCTCGGATTTTCTTATATGATTCGAACCGTAGAGCGATAGCGAACAAAAGTATATATTCAGTTCGAAAAATATTGTTCCCTCTTTGAGAAAATCCATTTTTACTAGATCATTGGCTATAGGTTAAATAATTGTACTCTTATTTCAGGATTTCGACTATCAAAACTCAATTTTCATGCAAAATAAACGTTAGATTCGGAATCAGCAGGAAAACTACATTGACTATTACAAATTTTATCAAAAAATATTTTTTATCAAAATTCCAGCCTACTCCCCCTCAGTCATTTTTTTTCTAGATTTGCTCCTGTGGTATACACCACAGGTAAAATTTAAAAAAAAATTATTTTTTTACTGGTCAACGTTACATCAGTAGATTCAGATTTTTCATGCTAAATTCGAGGATGATAGTCTTCTAAACGTAAAACATTATTAAACTAGGTACATTTCGAGTTTTCTCTAAAAAAAATGAAATATTCACTTTTTCAAGTGCAGTTTGTATTTTGAAAATTTCTCAACCAAAACGGAAGCCTAGAAACATTTTACATTTTAAAGTTGATATTCATGATCTACTCGTCGAGCTCTATCTAACCATGTAATAATAGAAGGATTTTTTTCTCCTGTTCGATTTTTTTTCTTTGGTACATCTTATGTATATATTATTTACTATTTACTATCGTATTTTTTGTTTTTCAGTCTTCTTTACCGTACTTTTCAAGTTAGTAATTTCGTTTTCATCTATACATGTAAGAACGACTCCCTTGCCACTTATTTGCGCACAACACCAGAAGATTCTATTTTATTGGGTCGATTGAACTATAATTGATTTAAATGAATAGTTAAGATTGATACGCCTACGAATACTAATTCAGTGTTATGTCACGCAAAAAAATGCTTAGACGTGCGCATATAACTTTGCCGTGTCAACATTGAAAAGAGCCGTGATGAAGCTAATTGTTTTCAATCCAAGATGTAGTTGAACAAGAAAGCTTAATTGCACCGTAGAAAATTTACCATTATCTTTACAATATAGATTTAAATAGCAAAAAGTAGATTCACAATATATCATTTAGGTTATAGTTTAATGTATTAGTTGCTATCGTGAGCTTCACAGTTTGTAAGTGTTACTAGCTCTTTTTCCTTTATTAATAGTCATATCGATGAATGGACTCTCAGAACTATTTTCTGAGTAGAGTGCAAAAAAATACACAAAAAGAAAAGAAATATAAAGAGAGAAACCTTGTAGAAATAAAAGGATAGACCAAACATCTGTAAGATGGTAGTTAAGTTCATACTATTGATCATTCCTAGTCGAACAATGATAGTGTTATAATACAACAATATTTTCTACAATACCAATGACAACTTTGCCTTTAGTACGGTAAGTAAATATTAGTTTGAGGTTTTCTTTTTCTTCTAAATTTACAATAAAAAAATATATGAAAGAAAGTATAAGTATTATTTATCCATTTTGATTTCATATGATTAACGGATGAACACTTACAGGCAATAGAATACCAATAGATGAACACAAATGAAATGGAGTATGTGATCGGTAAGACAAGAAAGGGGATTAGAATAAAAACCAAAAGTTTTCTTTTTGTTTTGACTTATACTAAAAAAACACTGATTGAAGATTGTTTGTTAATTGATTGAGAGGACTAAATAAGTGTTATCTTAACAGAATTAATACAGAAACGTTTTTCAAAAGAAAATAGTAGTCTACTATGTGAAAGTTCCTATCAAATTGACAAGTTTTCTATAAGTTGATATTACTTTGAAAGATTGTAAATAATTTTTAGGAAAATTTTTTCTAAGTGTTCCATTTGATAGATCTTCAGTTTTTAATTGAAATATCTTTATTCCTAACAATAATTTTTCTATGTAAGAATACAATCACTAAATTATCCATACGTTCAGATGTTTTTATATTTCTTCGCTGCAAGAAAATTGTTTAGCATTCAGCGAGCAAATAAATGAATCTACTTGTTATTTTTCTTTTCTTATATGCATGCGCATAGACAAAAAGGAATCGAGCATAGACTTTTATTTTTAGAACAAGCAATCATTTTCTAACAATTTTCTAATAGATTTCATAAATAATGGTCGATCTACTTATAAAATTTACAAGTTTAATACATGTTGCAAGAATTTTTTTTTATTTTACTTTTTTTTGTTAATATTTCGAGCATGAAAGAAATTATACTAACAGAACTTTACACTTCGAAAGTAAGTAATCACCTTGTCTACGATCTAGTGTAATCTGTAATTGAAAGCAAGCGAACGAAAATATTTTATAGCTTAGAATATACAATTTAATAAAGAATATCTATGTAGAACACAACTTGTATTATATAATTTTATTTAAGAGCATATTTGATTTAAAAAAAATGATTGCTAAGCACGATTGCCTGAGTTTCATCAAATAGAGGTAATATGTTGTTTTCTTGCACTGCATTCATTTCGCTCGACAGTAAGCTTTATTTTAAGTAAAATGACAGCTTCTACAGTTGTTGTCAAAACAAGCATTCTATGAATAGTAACTTTATTAAGATCAGATCAGTCGGTATAGATCTTGTCAAGACAATTTAATTTCCTGTGCAGGATACGTTTTAATGATGCTCTCCGGAAAAAAAAGAATTGTTTAGACATCGATACCCCCATAAATGATTTATATTATCTGAAATTAATTCGATTAAGATTACCGAATGTTTTTTATATTCTCTTAAATTTTTAGAAGAAAAGTGAAAAAATTATATGATTTAGAAATTCTATGCCTTTTATTAGATCATTTAGCAGAATCAAATTTCATTTCCATACTCCATTTACACGGAGTAATTTCAATAATGTATGATTTCTTCATTCGAATATTTAAAAAAGAAAAGGGGAAGAATCTTGCAAAACCTATTGGTAATAACTGGATTTTATTACGCACTTGAGTTTCTAGTTATTACTTATTTGTGCGCCTGTATTATTTACTATTTGAATACTCCTATGAGACAATTGTTAATATAGTATCCCTATGTCAATCTATTGAAATGGTTATTTGTAGGATTATTTTCAAAATAAAATTATAACATTGAGAGATAGCTCATATTTTTCTTTGAAAAACTGAACTGAAGACGTTATAGGATATGCACCGCCATTTGTTGATAGAGAGGAAAGGCAATCATAATTTCCATACTTGATTCTTCTGCATACATTTGACTTTATGTCAAATGTAAGGAATATTTCTAGTCTTTCTGGAAAAGAAAAGACTTTAAAATTTGAATAACTAATTTACACCATATCTCAACATCCTGTCTGTTGTAAACTGAAGCAGCCATATTTATTGCTCATGACTTGTTCTACTATTATGAAGATTTATTCATTTTTCTCTTCTTTTGTAATTCCTTTGTGTATCATAGATATATCTATTTGAGGAAAGAAAAAAAGAACTAGCACAATACTCGTGTGTAACATAGTTAGAGTTGTGTTCGTGTATGATTTCTTTATGGTTATCGACATGATATAAACATTAAACTATTGTGTCAGCTGATGCAGTGAATGAAAATAATACATAAGCTGGCAACAACAAAGCAAAGTAACTATTAAAAGTTTAATTCTTATAACAAGATATATAAATGAAGGTTCGCATTATTGATTACTAATTCATATAAAAACAAAAAGGAAAAATATAATTATATAGGCACAATATCAATTGTTCGTGAGGAAAATTTTCTTTCTCATATCCGCTTTTTCTGTCTAAATCAGGTAGTCTGCTGATTAGTAGGACAAAAATAGCCTATGAATAAAATTTACTCAAGCAGATACATACATACACATATACGTGCTTTATTTATAAAATAAACATTAAGATCTGATCAAAACAACAGACGTAGATGTGTAACAGAGAGATACTGTATTTTCCCTACTATCTGGATTTCTTGTTTATATATATCAAACTAATGGATAACAATTATTTGTCGTCTTCGCGGTGTATATATATAAGTTCTGATAATAGAAAATCAATTATCAAGATATGAGTTGAGTTATTGTTTTTTGTGTACTCAAAAAAAGTGTGTACACTTTAGATTCGGTCAGTGTGTCCGACCGTTAACACGATAACTCTTGCAAACTTCATCCAATTGTCATGAAATTTTGTACACATAATGATCTCATTAATATCTCAGTCGAGTTCGAAGATGAGAAGGATCCGTCAAGAAATGGCTNGGGTATAGGGATTTTTCAAAAAAAAATTTTTTTTCTCCGTATTATTCACAACATATATAAATCGACTCAGTTTTTGCAGTACATATAACAGTCGGACGCGAATCCGATGTTTCCTCATTTATTTTCTACTTGTTACAGTAGAATTTTTATGAAAACCAACAATATATTCGCACATTTGTAGAGACTAGGACTGATTTGTCTGCACTAATAGACAAAACAGAGATTCATTTGAATTTACTATATCTATTGTATGGATATTTTATAATAGAAACAGAAATTGTAATCAATTCTAGGAACTCTTTTCTTTTTATTCCCTTTAGAGTTTTCAATTGATCAAGCTTTCATGACACACATATCCACGGTTTTTGCACTAACTGATCATAAAAATAAATGAAGTGTGATTAGAATAAATATCAACCAAAAGCATTTACATCAGAACCGCAGTTGTTAAGTTTTCTATCAATTAGCAGTCAGCATTTTTCTCTGATACACAGCTGTTCAATTATATAGCCCTTGTTAAAAAAATAAAAGTAAAAATCGACAATCTGATTTCGTATGCGCGACGTGTAATATCGCAAGTAGTTTCAATTATAAATTACAATGGAAAGATGACTCCTTTTTATTTCTGAGAAATAAATAGTTAGATGAACACATATGTTAGGCTTTATTTGCATGCCCTATCTTAAATAAAATTAGTTTTTTATGCGTAGGATGTATCAGATAAATCTAAAGTCATGTACTAATACCTAAGACAATAAAAAAAATATTCACCAGCCGTCTCTACTAAAATAACCTACATAGAAAACATCTTTTGCCGTGGCAAAAACTAATTATAGTTTTTGAATTTCGAAGTGTTTCTGATTGATGACGCCGGAGACAAAAGGAAACGGATATAAAAGATGAAAAGAAATGTTCTTCTTTTCTTTTTAGCTCTCAAGATGCATACTATGCATCCAACAATTCTCCAGTCGCGTTAACACCTATATTTACGTCCATAACTAAATCTGCTTCTGCCTACAAATCTTATATAGCTAGTGTAAACATGACATGGTCATCACAACTTGAATCATTATGCTATATTGTAATTGCATTAACCGGTCTGGTTGGTAATACAACAACAATTATTATTTTCTCTCAACGACGTTTACGATCATTACGTTCATCATTTTTTCTTACTTGTCTCGCAATAACTGATCTTATATTTATACTGATACTTGTTATAGTTTTTCTTCATCGATTAAATGTCCCAGTTATGACTACACCTGTTTGTATGCTAACTATTTATTTAAGTCATATAGCATCTTTTTTATCATCAAATTTCACACTGGCCTATACTCTACATCGTCTTATCGCTGTATTTTTTCCAATAAAAGCAACAACATTTTTAAAACAACGCACAAATCGTATAGTAGCATTTGCATTATTCATATTTGCATGTTCATTTTATTCATTATCATTTCCTGTAACAACAACTAAACTTGTTTCAAATACAACCAATGTTGTCGATTGTGAAGAAGATCGAGGCAAACCATTGTTATTTCCATTTCTTGTTTTGGATACATTATTTACGTTTATTATCCCATTTTCATGCATAGCCTGTATGAATCTAGCTATTGTTTATAAACTTCATTCGAATTTTTCATTAAAACAATCTATGCCAATATCAAATGCATCAACGCCTGCTTTATGTCCATCAGCAAAAGCATCAACTAATTCATCATGTCAGTCACAAACAGAAGCAATGGAATTACAAAAATTGAATAACAATAACAATAATGCTACTAAAACTAATAGTCAAAGTAGTAATGCCAATTATACTACTCAAAGTAAAATAAATCATCATCGTTTACGACAACAAAATCATTTATTTATATGTGATCGTCCTATGGAAAGACGTAAAAGGTCAAGAAATAGTGGATCATTAACGTCTATTACATCAACACGAAACGTATCATTATATCACAAGAATACTTCAATTCGAATAAGTTCAACTCAATGTCGAGCGACAGCATCAGCTAAAACAACTAAAATGCTGTTAGCTGCTTCAACTGTATTTCTAGTTTTCAATTTACCTTATCATTCATTATTATTCTGTTTTCTATTTACTCGAGAACAACCATCGTGGATGGCTCATGCCGTAAATATCGCTCGTCTTTGGTTTTTTGCATCATTTTGTGTAAATTTTTTCGTCTACGTCATTTGTGGTCAACGTTTTCGTAGGGAAGTTGTTCGTCTATTTAGTTGTACAATTCTTCGACGATACTTTACATCGCATAGTCAAGCAAAAACTCAAGAACGTCAAAATAGCATTTGTTTAGGTCATCGCTTATTCAGAGCAGAATCACCACATGCATCGCATTCAAACTAAATAATATTCCATCGTTGTGTTCCTTATCGTCTCACTGAATATTTTCGTTCATATTTCTGTGGGACATATCACTTTTTCCTTCTTCTCTCATTTTTCATTTTCTAAATAACAATAAAAAGATGAATATATTCATAATTACTCTTTTTATGCTTATTTGCTTGAAAAAAAAGAAGAGAAAGTCCTCGTATTTAGTAAATCCTATGTTAACTAAGAAAAGGAATCATCTTTTTCTCTATATGAGCCAGTCCATGTAAGCGACGCTCGAACCTGCTGAAACGATGTCATCCGATTTCACTCAATTTTGTATATGTTGTAGAGGGAAGATCGCTGAGAATTTTCACGA